GGCTGAGCTCAGATAACGACGGTGCGTCTCTGTGATCTGCTGCTGCTGACTGTCTGAGGCGTGTGTAGCGAGTGAGACACAGAGAACGAAGTGCAGTGGCTGGCCACACCCTCCCTATGCATCTTCCAATTAGCAGCTACTTTGAGTGAGGGAGGGAGAGAGAGAGAGAGAGGAGAGCACTCTGACCCTTTTTCATCAGATCTTTTCAAATTGTAGATTTCTACATGTCATCGCATTTGGGGGGCAGTTACTATTTTTAGGGGGGCATTGCCCCTCCTTGCCCATGGCTACATCCGGGCCCGGATATGACTCTTTGATAAATACAGCAATACCATTGAGGAGCGCAAAAAGGGACCCGCTCTCAATAATAACCTGGGTTGTGTTTGCAAGCACCAGATTTAGCACATGTGCATAGCACCAGACATGCACCTGGTTTGGTGATTGTGCAGACAATAGTGAAGAAAATCCTTTATATTGGCCTTGCGTGTTTGATGCCCCATCGGTCATGTTTCCAATGCACATTGTCTTGCTGAGGCCCATTTTTTCCAGAACTTCTGCCAGCATGTCAACAAAGGCCTGTCCAGTAGATGAACTACACTTCAGCATTGCAACAAGCCTCTCATTAACAACATCAGTAACATACTTCATAATAATAGAGCACTGATCCTGAGAGGATGTACATCCTGTGTTGTGTCCAGCTGAACTGAAAACATTCCTGCTTTCTTGATCTCATGTGATATGTTTTCTTGAATCGGATGGTGAATTGCATATATTGACTGTGGTTTAGAGAGAAAAGTTACAAGGGAGCCTCTGCCTCTTGTGCCTCCAGACAAATGTAACTGTTTGCTCTCCTCAACGCAGCTATCCAGGTGCTCTTTTACACAGAAATCATACCTCCCCAGTAGAAGTATGAGTTCAAGGAAATTTCCATAGTCAACTGTGTGGTCTTCCAGGGTATATGCTGCCTCATTTTCTGACCTCCTGTATGCAAGCCCCCTCTTCCCAAAAACGTTGATGACATCTATTATGCGCTCCAAAACCTGTCATCTCTTTTTGACCTGCTCTCTGTGTGCAGCCATCTGACTGCCACGAAACAAACTGCTGATATCAGCACTGGCAGATTTCAAGAGGTATGCTTCAGCACAGTTTCTGTGTGCACTGCTTCTCTCATGTTCCTCGGTGCGCTGGTGTATATGCTTCCATTCTGACATTCCACTGATGAGCAGACTACTATCAGTTCTCTTACCAAATGCCATGCAGATGAAGCAATACAGCATGTGACGCTCTGGACAGTAGGTGAGCCACTTTCTGCTGGTACCATCTCTGCTACAGAACCCTTTCTGCACCGCAGGATTGGTACTTTTCTGCTGAGGATGGTAATTTAGAAACGATTGGAGATTTTTCTGATCAGGTTGTGAAAAAAAATCTGTTATTTTACTGTCACATTCTTGGTGTTTTACAGCTGTTTCCCTCTCAGGTGGTGCTGTATTTGGGCTGGCATACTCCTCACTCTCTACTGTCTTTTTTTCTCAGGTGGTGCTGTATTTGGGTTGCCTGTATTAGTTTGGCCCTCTCCCTGAACTGACCAGCTGGACTTGCCCATAACCTGTGTCTGGGCAAATAAGAAAAGCATTTTTCATTGTAAGGGGAAACAACTTCAAACCACAGAATAATCCACAATAGAAATATTAGTCCATATTTAACTAAATATTCACGTGCACAACAACACCAATGGCTGTCATGTTTTCATTATGGCGCCTAGGCCTACTAGTGCTTTCCAGTGCAAAAAACTCAGATCTTTGATTAGTGCTGTGATAACAAATAAATAAATAAATTAAATCTTGAAAAAACCTTAAAAATTTAGTCTGAAGTGATTCTTATAACACATTTTAACAACCAAAACAATTGATTCACAAGTGTCAGAATCAGTTTAATTATTTAACGTTGTCCTTTTCTTCACTAGAATGGGAGGGAAAAGGCTAGATAGCCATTTTAAGATGAAAAGATTAATACAATTTTCCCAGTGAACTGTTATTCACTCAGTGTTGGTTGCGTTATTTCATATCAGACATGTATTTAATGTAACAGCTCAAAAAGCGTTTTCAAAAGCATTGACCCATATCGATTTAAAATTAGAACAGATTGAATCAGACCGAATCAGATTATGATAACTGATTCGTACTCCTAAGAATCAGAGTCAAATCAATTCTTGAACTTTAAATTGATACACAGCACAAATGTGACAGTACTTGAACCTATTCAAGACAGCACTATATGCATTCAATCAAACTGTAGTTCAACGTAACACATTTACACAGAAATTAAAGTTATAAATACCAACAAAATAATTCTCCCCTCAGTAAACAATAAATGAAATGAAACAATCAATTTGATACCAAATATTGGCTATTAAACTAATTATTCCTTACAGGCGTACTTATATTGTGTGCTAAAATGCTAAGTATCTCATCTGTATTTACAATACAGCTTGTCTGTATCTCTATTTACAGCTCATTGGCTGAGTAAATGTTTACTGTTGCTATGGCAACAGACAGCTGACATGTTCAGAAAAAAAATTTGAACAGGCCGTAATATCACAATAGGTGAGTTTCACATTCAATAATACCATTGCAATTAGAGGCCAGGTTCCAGGCAGTACAACTCAATGGGAGAAAAGCTGTTTTTGGAAGAAATTTCTAAAAATAAACTGTCCAAATGTTTGCCCTGAAGATTACTTTACAGTGATTGGATTCACAAACCTGCAATATTATTCTTTCCTGTGTTGCTGAAAGTCCTTTCTACTGGTCAACATCACACATGTTTTTTGAATACTGTCTCCACTTGTACATCTTTAAGGGAAAACTAATTAGAGTGGCCCTCAGTCCCCTGCTTTTCTACTTCTATTTTTTTCATGTTAGCCTGTGATTGTCAGATGTGTTGGGAGCAGGACAAGTGCATTAAAAACATCACGGTCGTGCTTCCCCCCTCAAGTTTCTCCTCCAGCCTCGGGTGGCAGCAGAAGGAGAACCTGTGACAGAACAGAAGGGAGAAAGTGACGGGCAGCGGGACAGTTCGACACACTTCTCCTCCATGATGCAACAAGTAATAAATCAGTTGGATCGTCCTGCATTGCCTAGAATAATGAGTTCTGATGATAATACACGGAGTTTGAACACTAAATCGCTCCACCACGACCACGGAGGAGCTGTGAAAAACCAGGAAATGGAGCACAGCGGAGAAGAGCAGGGGCTGTTACCCCAAATCTGCTTTATACAGCAGTGAATAAATGTGTCTGATCACCATGTAAAATAGTAAGTTTTGATAATAATCTGTGCAGAGCATTAAAATGATATTTTCTGATCTGCATGGGTGCTGTCGTGCTGCATTTGCAGCCAATGCGCCTCTCATAAGCGGCCGGTAGGAAGGGACAAGCAGCAGAATACGTGAGAATGTGCTGCCCAGTGTAACGTGAGGAAATATGGGTTTTCTGTCACAATGGTGGTGCTGGACGCAGCGAGGTCAAAGCTGGGTCATTGAGAACTTTCATCCACAGATTAAGACCTGAACGCCAGCGAGTCTGGGAGGAAACCATAACATCTGCCACCTGCGGTACCAGAAGAAGGAGTTCTCATGGACAAGTAATCACAACAAATCAAAACATAAAGTTTAAACTTCTTTTTCTTGATTTTAATGTTAAAGTAACCATTATCAATTTGCTCATTATAAATGTGTTTAATCAAATGAATGGTTCTTATGCTTTGGGGTAATTATAATGGTTTAATGAATCCATTCTTAAATAATGTTGAGAATGTTTGTTACTGACCTTCACACACACTCAAGCACAAACATTCACACACACCCACACACACCTGCTCACAGTAAAATCCAGACACATTTGATGACGCACGTTTGCTTTGAGAAGAGAAAGGTTTTTGGTAAGTTTCGGTCTTATGATTTCAGTTGGTGCTTGACAACGAAAGAGAGAGGACGTGTGCCTGGGAAACCTGATTCTCACTCCAAAGAGGAACAAGTTGTCTGATCGCAAGTTTGAGAAGCTTCTCCTCATGAGGTACAATTGTTGGTTTGAGGGAACAAGTGTGGACTAGCACTGATATGATGACGTGTTTCCTCCAATGGTGCACTACAAGGTGAAGCAGGTTAATATTTCCAAGTGAAACATAGACAACTGAAGCATATAACCCACCATTATTTTTTTCAGCAGTTGTTTAATTTATTTACATGGCCTGACTGCAGGAAATATTATTTTGTTTAAACATTGACTGTTTATGGAGCAAAAATATGTTTTGTTATTTAGTTTCTCTTACTGAGGCTAAAAATACTTTAAATTTGCCCATCATTACTGAAGATGAGGTCTGGTGCAGTTCAGCTGTTTTCTGTTAAGTTTACAAAGAATGGATAAACCTCAATGTGTTTATGTTGAATAATTTTTGCACTGTTATTGATACGGTTCCTAAATGGTCTGAGGAACAATTTAATGTTGGCACTGCTAAAAGTATACTTTCTACCCATTTCAATGGCAAAAATAAATAAACCTATCAAGGTTTCAAGATACTGTATGTCATGTTTTGTGTGATCCACTGCTTTTTTGTAGTGATAGCCTACTAGGTACAATGATTAGATTTATAGCACTGTGTGACATCAACCACAAAATTATGTGTTTGTATTTGTAGAGGGTTAGAACAATAGAAATAGATTAAAACGGACGGATAAAAGTGACACATAAAACAGACATTGTCCTTTCTAATTTAGTTTAATTCATTTCATCATTCACTTGCACTCACAGTACTACACTGCCATTTTATGTTCAGACCACTAGGTGGCGGAGTGAACTTGTGGCAGGATAGGGCTACCATGTAAGCTGGCAAGAAGACCAGCAACCTTGCTGGCTATCCAGTTAAGGAAGTAATACATTTTAATAAGAAAAATCTGAATAAAAACAGTTACTTTCCCTAGCAACTATTTACTTACAATCTAACGAGTAACTTAAAGTAACTGAGTTACTCTTGAAAGAAGTAACTAGTAATGTAACTACATTACTAATTTAAAGTAACTTTCCCAACACTGCTAACAACTACACAAATACATTTGATAATATAAATAAAAATGTAGTCATACTTTATTTAAATATTTACTGTAATTTATTTTAGAAAAAAAATGTCAGTCATTAAAGAACACTTCAGGTATGGTCAATAACAAGTTCAATAAATTCCCATCTTACATTTTCTTGCCTTTTAGTAACAATTTGATAAAAATAAAAAACATTCAAGCATTAAACCTTTAAATACCAACAAGAAAAAAATCATAGGCCTCTCAATATAAATAGTTCAAGACTTGATAGAAATGAACTGTAGGTATTACAAAAATAATTTTTACAGCTTTAGGCATCCCCATAGAGAACCATTCATGTTTTATGTCTTATTTCACCTGTAAAAGATTATATGATCTAACAATTTACCAGATCCCATTAAATTTCAGCAGTACATTAAAATCATTTAATTTCCATATACGTTAAAGTTAAAAGACAAGCTGTAGAGAGTCTGTAGGCAAACATTGCTCATTCATTTCTTAGTTAGACCCATAGGAACATGAACATCCACAGTAATAAAAGTGAACAACATGTTCTTTGTGATATCTATGACTGTATAATTGAGTGAACTGAGCCCATCCTGATCTAAAGTATTAGTAGTTTCTTTTAGTTTTTTGACATTGTTCAAGTTCTGGTCATTATGCAGGTCTCTCTCATGTTTTATCATCTTGTACCTTCCAATCACAGCGTATGGTCGAGATATGGCCTTTATGCGCAACATGACTCGGTTGTAGAGGTCGTCGTCCTCACCACCCCAGCCCCAGAAAGTGTTGGAGAAGCCATTGACGGTCAAGAATTGTTCCTTTGTTAATGCTGTGACCCCACCAAAAATCTTTTCATATGGTAATTTATAGTCAAACTTGTCTACAGCAACACTTAAGTGTCTTGGATTGCTAAAACATCTGTAGAGGTTACGGTCATCTAAAGGTACGAGGTCTACATCAGAAAAGAGGAAACAGTTGTAATCATCTTCCTTCAGCGCTTCAGCGTAGCCTATATTCATTAATTTAGCTCTGTTGAAAGTTCCATCTCCATCCTGGTTAATGACATAAACACCGTAGTCCAGCTGCTGCCGTTGTAAGAATGGATGGAGGTAGTAGAGCCAGTGGGTCAGGTTTTCATGGCGATTTCGGAATGGAATGATGACGGCCACCTAAAAACAGTGCAAGTATATTAATATACAGGGTAATATAAATCATCAAGTAGGTTTAAATAACACATTTAGCTGAATTTTTTTAACCCTTTAAGTGCCAAAGTCGCAGAATTGCGACAAGCAATTGTCGCATTTACTATTGGAATGTTGGATTTAATAAGCCACAGCAGCAGAAATGAGCCCTCATGCAGTTAATATGTTACACAGCGGGGATGGCAGACACCTGTAACTTCAATCCAAGCAGCATTTGTGGGTGTGTTACTATTCAAATTTATGGAGTATTTAGAACTTGAACCCCGCCCACCAGTCGCAGAGTCGCGCGGCTTGTCAGAGCAGTCAGATTGAATGAGAGCGAGCGAGTGGTAGAGGGAAAAAACACAATGCCGAGAGGAATGTTCAGTGCTGATGAAGCTCTTCGTGTAGTACTGGCAGATTCGGAGGAAGAATATTTCCTTTCCGAGGATGATCTGCAGTCTTCTAGCGAGACGGAAAGCGTGGCTTCAGCGCGCAGCAACAGGGAGTCTGACGACGCGGTTACACAAGCAGCCCATCCAGCCCTTACCTTGTCAGATGTTCAGCGTCACCGTGTCCGTAGTCGGGGAAAGAGACGTGGCGGGGGGCCTTGAGCAGCTCGTACCGGGTCCGTGCCGGGGGTGGGGTGGGGGTGGTTGCAGTCATGGGCCGGTGAAAACTCTGCTGGTGATCGATTCAGCCCCGGGGGTGTAAACCGCGGGAATTGCAGCAGGGGGGGATGAACCACGGGAAAAAAATCACTGCTAGCAGGGGGGTGGCCCAACACAGCCTCCGTGACAATAATAATGATGATGGCTGGGTTAGTTTTGGAGAAAAACAGTATTCCAAGTGGATCAGGCATTTTGATGAGCCAGTTGGTACTGTGGAGACAGGGATCCGTCAAATTCAGCACACATTGATTCTCTGTCAGTTTTTTTGGATGAGGAATTCTGGACCCTCATCACAACTGAAACTAACCGATATGCTCACCAGTATTATATATATATATATATATATATATATATATATATATATATATATATATATATATATATATATACACACACACACATACATACATACATACATACATATATATATATATATATATATATATATATATACATACATACATACATATATATATACATATATATATATATATATATATATATATATATATATATTATAAACAAAATAAACCAAAGAAGGGATGAGTGAAATGTGTTCATGACACTGAAGCACCAAAAACAGTGTTCTTGATTGATACACAGTAAACATAACAAAATACCAATAAAGTTATGAATATTATATACATACATACATAGTTATTATATGTCTACATAGGAATATGTATATATGTATCATAAACGATAACAACACTAAGAAAATAAGACAAAAACATAAAAAAAGAAAAAATCTGCAAATGTGATGCAATCCAATAAGGCTGCCACCAGATGTTGTCATAATATGCAAATTATGTGAGTGAATTTGTTCCTATCACAAAATTAGTAGTAGTGTAGTTGATCGACGGCAGCAGCCAAGGCACCAACACAGGGTGCCAGGAGAGATAGGGCAGAACCCCCCCCCCCCACCGACTAAGCACACCCCTAGGAGCGCCCAGGCTGCCACAGTGGACCACTATCCCCGATGCAGAGGGCCCCACAAAGGAAACAGTGGTATGATTAACATAAGTACAATAAATAAAATATTAATATTAATATTAATAGTTCATATGGATAGTAAAATAACTAATAATAACTGATTAACAAGATTGTAAAACACTAAAACATACATTTCTAACAACACTAAAATGAAAATAATAAAATCACTCAATAAATTAATTAATCAAGAAATGCTGCGAAAAACAGGTATCAGTTAAATGCTAAGCTGAAAAGGTGAGTCTTGAGCCTGCTCATAAAAACATGAAAATTCTCTACGATCCTGAGGTCCTCTGGCAGCCTGTTCCAGAGAGAAAGGCCATAAAATTGGAAGGATGCCTCACCATGGGTATGCGTTCTGACTTTGGGAATCTCAAGAAGAAGGCTGCCAGAGGAGCACAGAGGCCGTCAGGGTTTGTAAGGGAAAAGCAGTCCCAAAGATAAGAAGCCCCAAGACCATTAATACACTTAAAAACCAACTCAACCTCACACACTAACTCCAGCTCTTTCTCAACCAGAAAGGTGACATTCCACTTACAGAGAGCTAGCTTTTGTAGCCGAGGAACAGACTGCCAAGATCCCTGCCTTTGGCTACCACCCAAAACACAATGTGTCACACCCTGTCCTGTCTCCTCTTTTGGTTTAGTCCTGTGTCTCTGTTAATTGCTCCCACCTGCCTCTCATTTTCCAATCACCCAAACTCCCAGCCCTCTTGTATTTAAACCCCTTCAGTTTTTTGTCTCGTTTCTGTGTCAGCGTGTTCATTATTAAACCCTTTAAACCATTCATGTCAGATTGTATACCTTCTTCACCCGCGTGTGGATCCTCACCTCCGCTTCGCACTCCAGCACGTCTGACAGAATGATCCAACCTGTTAAAGGATCCAGCGGGGAGATTCTCCCCTGGGAGTGCCTCCTCCAATTCCTCTCCTCAGACCACCGGCCGACTTTTCCTCCTCCGGCGTCGCCACGTCGCAGACGCCGTCACCGACCTTCAGCCTCGGCGATCCTCTCCACCCTCCCAGAGCCAGATGAGAGGTTGGACCGGGAGACGCTTCCAGATCGCACCAGCTACGTGGGCACCAGACTGGCTGTGTGCTCCCCTGGAGCTGGCCCACGGTGTGTGGAAGGATGCCGGGCTCCACCGCAATCCTGTGTCCCAGGACGGAGCCGCGAGCTCGCTGCTGCCCCGGCTCGGCGCACCTGCTTGAACCCGCCCCCAGTCAGACCAGCAGTCCCGTCTCCGGTCCAGTCCGCGCCTCCGTCATCTGCAGGCGGAGGAACAATGCCCACAGCCCAGCTGACAGAGCTTGCAGGTCTCCAGGCGGAGCTTGGCCAGATCTGTCAGCTCATCAGCCTCCAGGAGTCCCACCTGGACACCGTATCCTCCCCAAATCACCAGGAGAGGGTTTCAGTCCAGCCAGCAGCTCCCTCGTCTCAGAGCCAGAGGAGCGAGCCTGCAGTCTACCCAGCAGTTTTCGCCGGTCTCCGAGCTGAGCTGGCCCAACTCCATCAGAGCCTCAGTCTCCAGGAGCTCCAACTGGACACTCTATCCTTCCTCCTCTCCCAGTTTCCAGCACCACCAATTCAGTCGCATCCTGTTCCAGCGGTGGTCCTGGTGGATGCACCACATCCTGTTTCCGTGGTGGTCCCGGAGGTCACACCGCATCCAGTTCCAGCGGTGGTCCCGGAGGTCGCACCGCATCCGGTCCAGCCTGTCCAAGCGGTTCCGTCTGCAGCAACACCTCCTCCACTCCAGAAGCCGGCGGTCCAGAAGCCGGCGGTCCAGAGGCCAGCGGTCCAGAAGCTGGCGCTCCCGGATCAGAAGTTAACGCCCCCGGACCAGAATTCGACGGTCCAGACGTCGACGGACCAGAAGTCAACACCTCCGGACCAGGAATCGACGCCCCCGGACAAGAAGTCGATAGTGGTCGACGCCTCTTCCAGTCCTGTGGTCGACGCCTCTTCCAGTCCTGTGGCCGACGCCTCTTCCAGTCCTGTGGCCGACGCCTCTTCCAGTCCTGTGGTCGACGCCTCTTCCAGTCCTGTGGTCGACGCCTCTTCCAATCCTGTGGTCGACGCCTCCTCCACTCCTGTGGTCGACGCCTCCTCCAGTCCTGTGGTCGACGCCTCCTCGTGTTCTGAAGTCGACGCCTCCTCATGTTCTGAAGTCGACGCCTCATCCACTCCAGAGGTCGACGCCTCCCACTCCAGAGGTCGTCGCTTCCTCCAGTCCAGAGGTCGACACTCTCTCCAGTCCAGAGGTCGACACTCTCTCCAGTCCAGAGGTCGACACTCTCTCCAGTCCAGAGGTCGACGCTCTCTCCAGTCCAGAGGTCGACGCTCTCTCCAGTCCAGAGGTCGACGCTCTCTCCAGTCCAGAGGTCGACAATCTCTCCAGTCCAGAGGTCGACGCTCTCTCCAGTCCAGAGGTCGACGCTCTCTCCAGTCCAGAGGTCGACGCTCTCTCCAGTCCAGAGGTCGACGCTCTTTCCAGTCCAGAGGTCGACGCTCCCTCGTGTCCAGAGGTCGACGCTCCCTCGTGTCCAGAGGTCGACGTACCCTCCAGTCCAGCGTCTCCGCTGTCTCCAGCCCAGTGGTCTCCGCCGTCTCCAGTCCCGTGGTCGACGCCGTCTCCAGTCCCGCGGTCGACGCCGTCTCCAGTCCAGTGGTCGACGCCGTCTCCAGTCCAGAGGCAGACGACGCCGCTTCCAGCCCAGAGGCCGCCGCCTCCAGTCCAGAAGTCAAGGAGGTCTTCTCCGGCGTCTCTGCCTCCGGTCACTGCCAGTCCTGCCCTCATCAGGCGCGGCCCCCCAAGAGTCCATCCTCATCTCCTCCTCTGTCCCAGACACAGGCCTCCTAGAGCTCGTCGTCGCCTCCTCCTCTGCCACAGACGCAGGCCCCCAAGAGCCCGTCGTCGCCTCTTCTGCCCCAGGCGCAGGCCCCCGGACTCTACTGGTCCCTGCCTCCTCTTCATCGGGCCCTCTGTCCCTCTCGGCCCTCCCTCAGGGGGTGGTGGTGGTGGGGGTGGGGTGGGGGGGTGGGGGTGTTACTGTCACACCCTGTCCTGTCTCCCCTTTTGGTTTAGTCCTGTGTCCCTGTTAATTGCTCCCACCTGCCTCTCGTTTTCCAATCACCCAAACTCCCAGCCCTCTTGTATTTAAACCCCTTCAGTTTTGTGTCTCGTGTTGGATTATTGTTTCTGTGTCAGAGTGTTCATTATTAAAGCCTTTAAACCGTTCATGTCTGATTGTATACCTTCTTCACCCGCGCGTGGATCCTCACCTCCGCTTCACACTCCAGCACGTCTGACACAATGCACTTGACC